TGTTAAGTGACACTTAACCCATTGGCTTCATGTGTTATGGTGAGGAATGCTGTGATTGGCTGTAACCCGGAGCAACCGGACAGAGCAATGAATAATCGCTTCTGATTGGGTGCTGGGAGGTACCGCAGAGCGCTAGGAGGGCCGCCATTGCTGAAAATACCCGGCGCCTGGCTGCCTGACCTCCACACTGCGAGTCTCTGACCCGGGACCAGAGGTCCTGACTGGCACAACTGTCACCGGGTGAGCATAACAGCCAGGCAAGGAGCATTTTCAAGAGATCCCAAGGTCTGGGGCTACAGAACACCTCCCCCCTCGCCATAATACGGGGGGAGGTGCTCTGTAGTCCATGTAACTGATAAAGAGTTCAGAGCAAACCGCAACGCGAGTCCAAAACCAGCCGAAGCGACTTCCTCAGACAGAGGACAGGAAGTCATCCTCCCCACTGGAGGGATTTACTGTCACTTCCTGTCCCTGACCGAGGTTCTAGCCCTCTCACTTCCTGCCCCAGGGATAGGGGGGGTCAGTGATTGGAAATCTCTATGCTGGGGTCAGAGGCAACAACAGAAACACACCATCAGTACAGCGGGTAGGTTAGAACCTGTGTCTTCCTGTCCTGTTCCCCTCACTTCCTCTCCAAGTGCCCCCTGTTCCCCTCACTTCCTCTCCAAGTGCCCCGTTCCCCTCACTTCCTGTCCTGATCAACACTGTTCCTCTTCCTTCCTATCCTGGTGACTCCTTGTTCATCTCACTTCCTGTCCTGATGACCCCTGTCCCTCTCACTTCCTGTCCTGATGACCCCTGTCCCTTTCACTTCCTGTCCTGATGACCCCTGTCCCTCTCACTTCCTGTCCTGATGACCCCTGTCCCTCTCACTTCCTGTCCTGATGACCCCCTATCCCCATCACTACCTCTCCTTAAGAACCCGTTCCTTTTTATCTCTTGTACTGGTGACCCCTGTTCATCTCACTTCCTGTCCTGGTGTCACAGGGAAGGAAGAGTAAGTCTCCTCGCAGGGGTTCCAATCCTCCCGCACGCCGTCCAGACCTAGAAGAGGAAACTCCGGCTGGATCCCCCTCCGGGGTGTGTGACCGTCACATTCCCGTACCCCCCGGACTGCATCCAACAGGAAACCTGGAACTTCGCTGTACATTCATACACTCGGGGACACCAGCCGGCCTGACCTCAGTCATGTGACAATAAATCATCCAATAGAGCTCTGGGACTGGCGACAACACAATGTCAGCCGGTGGGTTCTGTAATCCCGCCCCCTGGTCTCTGACCTCCTTCTGGTGTTCCCGATCCCGCCCCCTGGCCCGTGATCTTATCCTGGTGTTCCCGCCCCCTGGCCTGTGATCTTATCCTGGTGTTCCCGCCCCCTGGCCTGTGATCTTATCCTGGTGTTCCCGCCCCCTGGCCTGTGATCGGTGATCTCTTCCTGGTGTTCCCGATCCCGCCCCCTGGCCTGTGATCTCTTCCTGGTGTTCCCGATCCCACCCCCTGGCCTGTGATCGGTGATCTCTTCCTGGTGTTCCCGATCCCGCCCCCTGGCCTGTGATCTCTTCCTGGTGTTCCCGATCCCACCCCCTGGCCTGTGATCGGTGATCTCTTCCTGGTGTTCCCGATCCCGCCCCCTGGCCTGTACCTGTCCCTCTCACTTCCTGTCCTGATGACCCCTGTCCCTCTCACTTCCTGTCCTGATGACCCCCTATCCCCATCACTACCTCTCCTTAAGAACCCGTTCCTTTTTATCTCTTGTACTGGTGACCCCTGTTCATCTCACTTCCTGTCCTGGTGTCACAGGGAAGGAAGAGTAAGTCTCCTCGCAGGGGTTCCAATCCTCCCGCACGCCGTCCAGACCTAGAAGAGGAAACTCCGGCTGGATCCCCCTCCGGGGTGTGTGACCGTCACATTCCCGTACCCCCCGGACTGCATCCAACAGGAAACCTGGAACTTCGCTGTACATTCATACACTCGGGGACACCAGCCGGCCTGACCTCAGTCATGTGACAATAAATCATCCAATAGAGCTCTGGGACTGGCGACAACACAATGTCAGCCGGTGGGTTCTGTAATCCCGCCCCCTGGTCTCTGACCTCCTTCTGGTGTTCCCGATCCCGCCCCCTGGCCCGTGATCTTATCCTGGTGTTCCCGCCCCCTGGCCTGTGATCTTATCCTGGTGTTCCCGCCCCCTGGCCTGTGATCGGTGATCTCTTCCTGGTGTTCCCGATCCCGCCCCCTGGCCTGTGATCTCTTCCTGGTGTTCCCGATCCCACCCCCTGGCCTGTGATCGGTGATCTCTTCCTGGTGTTCCCGATCCCGCCCCCTGGCCTGTGATCTCTTCCTGGTGTTCCCGATCCCACCCCCTGGCCTGTGATCGGTGATCTCTTCCTGGTGTTCCCGATCCCGCCCCCTGGCCTGTGATCTCTTCCTGGTGTTCCCGATCCCACCCCCTGGCCTGTGATCGGTGATCTCTTCCTGGTGTTCCCGATCCCGCCCCCTGGCCTGTGATCTCTTCCTGGTGTTCCCGATCCCACCCCCTGGCCTGTGATCGGTGATCTCTTCCTGGTGTTCCCGATCCCACCCCCTGGCCTGTGATCAGTGATCTCTTCCTGGTGTTCCCGATCCCACCGCCCGGCCTGTGAGTGGTGTCCCCTCTACAGACCTGGCTGCATGTTACAGACAACACTGTGCCTACTGCAACATTAAACTGCCTTAGAACAATGGCAGTCGGTTGCTATGGACAACACAAAACACTCCAACTGCAATAGCCAGCTATTATTGCGCTGGGTGTAGCAAGATGGCCGACCACAGAAACAAGAAACGATCACTTTTAGAGATTATGGGTGTAGCAAGATGGTAGACAGCCGAGTAAAATAGAGTGGGTTACTAAGATGGCGGGCACACGGGTGCAAACGTAAAGGCGATGTAGCAAGATGGCGAAAACAACCGATAACATAAGCGAGGGTGTAGTAAGATGGCGGACTCAGCCATAAAGCTATATGCGGGTGTAGTAAGATGCCGGACAGAGCACAACAATGGGCGGAATGGCAGCGGGTACCTCAGCTCTTTGGCGCTGTTTCAGCTCCTGCTGGGCGCTCTTCTGTTTGGCTTTCTCCAGCCGGCTCAGGGACTCTTTGGATTTGGATTTATCTTTGCGGCCTGCGGGATCCATGGCAACCAACGCGTGTAGCTTTCCGCCAGTGAGATCCGCTGCGCGTCGCCGAGCTCGAGTCACACTGCGCAGGCACGGGCCTCTCCCTAGGCGCGAGCCCAGCAAACCACGCATGCGCAGCAGTCTCCTCTATAAACCGAGCTGTCCACTGGACCTGGGGTGGTAATAATAAGAATGTGATTGGAGGAGGAGGAGCCTCATTTATATCTCTGTTGCCCCCAGCAATTAATGAGAAGGCAGGACCAAATGTGATCGTTATGGGTGGAGTTAGGTCTCTCACTTGGACCCCCCTCCTTGTACCTCATGGGCAGTCCCACAGTAATGCCCCGCCCTCAAGATTCCTGGCCCCGCCTCTTCTGGTGCATATAAAATGTTGTGCAGAAATACTCAACTCCATCAGAATTTTGGTGTCTAATGGGGGGGGTTCCCGTCACTTCCTGTCCAAAAGACACAACAGGAAGAGAGAGAAAATCTCCCAAAGTGAGGAAATCCCGCCCTTTGCACAGTTGTCACCAGAACAGGTGTCCCCATTGGAAGATTTCCCCTCACTTCCTGTTCTAGTGACAACTGTAACACTGGGACTGAGACTGAAGGGCCCCAATACAAGATCAGAGGAGGAGAGAGGGACAACTGAGGAGGAGAGAGGGACAACTGAGGAGGAGAGAGACAACCGAGGAGGAGAGAGACAACCGAGGAGGAGAGAGACAACTGAGGAGGAGAGCGGGACAACTGAGGAGGAGAGAGACAACCGAGGAGGAGAGAGACAACCGAGGAGGGGAGAGGGACAACCGAGGAGGGGAGAGGGACAACCGAGGAGGAGAGAGGGACAACTGAGGAGGAGAGAGGGACAACGGAGGAGGAGAGAGACAACAGAGGAGGAGAGAGAGACAACCGAGGAGGAGAGAGACAACCGAGGAGGAGAGAGACAACAGAGGAGGGGAGAGGGACAACCGAGGAGGAGAGAGACAACTGAGGAGGAGAGAGACAACCGAGGAGGAGAGCGGGACAACTGAGGAGGAGAGAGACAACCGAGGAGGAGAGAGACAACCGAGGAGGGGAGAGGGACAACCGAGGAGGAGAGAGAGACAACCGAGGAGGAGAGAGGGACAACCGAGGAGGAGAGAGGGACAACCGAGGAGGAGAGAGGGACAACCGAGGAGGAGAGAGGGACAACTGAGGAGGAGAGAGACAACCGAGGAGGAGAGAGACAACCGAGGAGGAGAGAGAGAACCGAGGAGGAGAGAGGGACAACCGGGGAGGAGAGAGAGACAACTGGGGAGGAGAGAGACAACCGAGGAGGAGAGAGGGACAACCGAGGAGGGGAGAGGGACAACCGAGGAGGGGAGAGGGACAACCGAGGAGGGGAGAGGGACAACCGAGGAGGGGAGAGGGACAACCGAGGAGGGGAGAGGGACAACCGAGGAGGGGAGAGGGACAACCGAGGAGGGGAGAGGGACAACCGAGGAGGGGAGAGGGACAACCGAGGAGGGGAGAGGGACAACCGAGGAGGGGAGAGGGACAACCGAGGAGGGGAGAGGGACAACCGAGGAGGGGAGAGGGACAACCGAGGAGGGGAGAGGGACAACCGAGGAGGGGAGAGGGACAACCGAGGAGGGGAGAGGGACAACCGAGGAGGGGAGAGGGACAACCGAGGAGGGGAGAGGGACAACCGAGGAGGGGAGAGGGACAACCGAGGAGGGGAGAGGGACAACCGAGGAGGGGAGAGGGACAACCGAGGAGGGGAGAGGGACAACCGAGGAGGGGAGAGGGACAACCGAGGAGGGGAGAGGGACAACCGAGGAGGGGAGAGGGACAACCGAGGAGGGGAGAGGGACAACCGAGGAGGGGAGAGGGACAACCGAGGAGGGGAGAGGGACAACCGAGGAGGGGAGAGGGACAACCGAGGAGGGGAGAGGGACAACCGAGGAGGGGAGAGGGACAACCGAGGAGGGGAGAGGGACAACCGAGGAGGGGAGAGGGACAACCGAGGAGGGGAGAGGGACAACCGAGGAGGGGAGAGGGACAACCGAGGAGGGGAGAGGGACAACCGAGGAGGGGAGAGGGACAACCGAGGAGGGGAGAGGGACAACCGAGGAGGGGAGAGGGACAACCGAGGAGGGGAGAGGGACAACCGAGGAGGGGAGAGGGACAACCGAGGAGGGGAGAGGGACAACCGAGGAGGGGAGAGGGACAACCGAGGAGGGGAGAGGGACAACCGAGGAGGGGAGAGGGACAACCGAGGAGGGGAGAGGGACAACCGAGGAGGGGAGAGGGACAACCGAGGAGGGGAGAGGGACAACCGAGGAGGGGAGAGGGACAACCGAGGAGGGGAGAGGGACAACCGAGGAGGGGAGAGGGACAACCGAGGAGGGGAGAGGGACAACCGAGGAGGGGAGAGGGACAACCGAGGAGGGGAGAGGGACAACCGAGGAGGGGAGAGGGACAACCGAGGAGGGGAGAGGGACAACCGAGGAGGGGAGAGGGACAACCGAGGAGGGGAGAGGGACAACCGAGGAGGGGAGAGGGACAACCGAGGAGGGGAGAGGGACAACCGAGGAGGGGAGAGGGACAACCGAGGAGGGGAGAGGGACAACCGAGGAGGGGAGAGGGACAACCGAGGAGGGGAGAGGGACAACCGAGGAGGGGAGAGGGACAACCGAGGAGGGGAGAGGGACAACCGAGGAGGGGAGAGGGACAACCGAGGAGGGGAGAGGGACAACCGAGGAGGGGAGAGGGACAACCGAGGAGGGGAGAGGGACAACCGAGGAGGGGAGAGGGACAACCGAGGAGGGGAGAGGGACAACCGAGGAGGGGAGAGGGACAACCGAGGAGGGGAGAGGGACAACCGAGGAGGGGAGAGGGACAACCGAGGAGGGGAGAGGGACAACCGAGGAGGGGAGAGGGACAACCGAGGAGGGGAGAGGGACAACCGAGGAGGGGAGAGGGACAACCGAGGAGGGGAGAGGGACAACCGAGGAGGGGAGAGGGACAACCGAGGAGGGGAGAGGGACAACCGAGGAGGGGAGAGGGACAACCGAGGAGGGGAGAGGGACAACCGAGGAGGGGAGAGGGACAACCGAGGAGGGGAGAGGGACAACCGAGGAGGGGAGAGGGACAACCGAGGAGGGGAGAGGGACAACCGAGGAGGGGAGAGGGACAACCGAGGAGGGGAGAGGGACAACCGAGGAGGGGAGAGGGACAACCGAGGAGGGGAGAGGGACAACCGAGGAGGGGAGAGGGACAACCGAGGAGGGGAGAGGGACAACCGAGGAGGGGAGAGGGACAACCGAGGAGGGGAGAGGGACAACCGAGGAGGGGAGAGGGACAACCGAGGAGGGGAGAGGGACAACCGAGGAGGGGAGAGGGACAACCGAGGAGGGGAGAGGGACAACCGAGGAGGGGAGAGGGACAACCGAGGAGGGGAGAGGGACAACCGAGGAGGGGAGAGGGACAACCGAGGAGGAGAGAGACAACCGAGGAGGAGAGAGAGACAACTGAGGAGGAGAGAGAGACAACTGAGGAGGAGAGGGACTTGCTGCTCCCCATAAATCTGCACAGTCTTGGCAGTGGGTGGGTGAGTTCAGGGACGGGAGTTGAGGGTTAATATGATATCGGGAGTTGCAGTGTCCCTCCAATCAGAGGAGAGATCGGCCTCCTCAGGTGTCCCGGGCTGGGATGGCGGTGACAATGATTTATCTCTGCCGGCCCCTCCTCAGGTTAAACTTCAACCACACAGAAGGTGTCATCACCGGAGCCGAGCGGACTG